CTACACTTAAAGGATTATAAATAAATAAAAACGCATGACTTTAAAGTTACATATCCGTTAGAGAAGTTTAAAGGGACAGATACCAAAATTATTACTGTTCTTAGCAGGATTTACTTTACATACTACACGTTTGGGTTTTAAAATATTAGACGTTTAATACGGTGTTGCAGGTATGGAGAAGTAGATAAAAAAAATCATATAAGAGAGCAAGAGAAAGATATATACTAAAAGAGGATGATGATAGTGCAGGTGAGGAGCAAGAAAGATAGAAGACACGAGCAAAAGGAAGAAACGAAGCAATCTGCCTGAGTCAACCGGTCTGACCACATGTTTGCCAGGAGTCGCTATGTAACCGGATGGGAACTTCGACTCAGAACCGTAAGCAAGCTCCGTTGAGCCGCGCTTAGACCAAAGAACAAATCGATCGAACCGAGTACTCACCGTTTATTTCGTCGACATTCTCCAACTAACCTCTTTTACTTTTTCCATTTTATCCCTTCCGGCAATCGACGTTTTAACCCCTAGAAGACAATCTATTGAAAAAAAGAAAGAGAAAGAAAGAGGAAGAGATTGTCTTCGTTTCTTTTCCAAACCTTTTCGAGACCTTCTAGCTAGAAAATTCGAAAAACTAAAACGTGACTTTCTTTTTCTTCTTCTTCTTTTTTTAGTTTGGCTATACTTTCAATAGATTTCATGTAGAAAGATTTATAAATTTAGAATTAAATGGAGAAAAAATATCGTAACAAAATTGTTTTTTTTTCCAAACAAGCAACAACATGGCAAACGAACGAAGAGTGAGAAAGAATGAGAGAAAGGGAACACTGATTTATATATGTAAGAGAAAACGTGGTTTATATATCTAATCGTGCAACCAATAATCAATAAACTTGTCCTATAGATGTGCATATAATGTATATGTATTTTAGTTCGATAGATATCTATATGTGTATATATATATAGATAGATATTCGCACGAGATACAAGTTACTCCAGTCGAGTGTCCGATTCGATCAAACGACAAAAAGGATTGATGGCGTCGAGGATGTGTACAACGAATTACAGCTATCTGACCGTAACAAGCACGTACAATATACAACGGTACGCTCGCGCTGGTTTGACCATTTAAAATTTAAATACCCGCGTCCGAACGCACTGCAAATACGCGTTCTTTCACGGCCGCAATCAACGCACGTAGATATACATATATACGAACAGAAAGATCGATGGATGTGTTCTATTCTCTAACCAGGAAAATAAATAGAAAAAAAAAAGAGAGAGAGAGGGAGAGAGAGGGGGGTGGGAAGGGAGTATAGAAGAAAAGATAACAACAAAATATTATCGGTTTCAATCGTAATGATAAGCGTGTCATGTTTGCAGGTGAAATCGATATGTTAGATATATCTAATCTTGATCTTGAATATGTATCGCTTAGGTATTCTTTTCACGAAAGAAAAAAAAGAGGGATAAAAAAAGAAAGGGAGATAAAATCGATAAGCTCTAAATAGTCGCCATAATAATTCGTTTAAACGATACAACCTTGAACGGTGATAAGAATCTATTCTAGTTTCAAATAAAACTAATTCCAAATGCATTCATTAGAAAAGAATATAATCAAATGATTTATATCTATTCAAAATATATTTTTAATAGATCGAAATGTAACAGAATTGCCTTGAAATTTTCTTTAATTATATATAATAATAATAATAATAATAATAATATAATTAATGTTAATTATTTTTTGTATATACAAATTATATGGAAAATGCCTCTCGCTGCAAAAGTAGATATAAATCGAGATCGAGAAATTAGTTTGTGCACATTAAAATGAAGAAGCAAGAGCACGAAAAAGATCTGATTCGAATGGGATTTTGTAAATGTAACGGCAACGTGACGGATTTTAAGTTGGATAATGAGAATTCTCGAGGATGAGGAAATGAAGAGAAAAGAAAAGAAGAATCCCCGTTTTAGAATCCATGGCAATTAAAAGCGAGACAAGGTAGAGAGAAACCGAGAACGATCCTGGTAACGGTCCAGCTCGGACTTGTATCAGGACAAACTGTTACGAGTACGAGTACGGTAGACACGTACGTAGTTAAGCTACCGCATTCGCGGACGAAAATAGTAGCGAATGGTACTGAGAGAGAGGGAGGTAGGTAGGTAGGTAGATATGGGGTTTGATGGGGGCTGGAGGATGGCTGTTACACTTCGTAGAACGAAATCCTCTTTGAAATCACAGCGATCACGTCCGACGAATCCTACCCTTCAGCGTGTTTTCGTATACGGGTTGCTAATAAAAATAAATAGAAAGGACTGGTAAACGAAAAGAAAGAAAATGATGACAAAGAACGCAAAGGAAAGCAAGAGAGAGGAACATTAACGTAACGAGTTATATCTAGGTAATCAATATTTTATATAAAAAGCACAACCCTTCCTCTATTTACGCGGATAATTTTTTGCCCGCGGTTTTCCCCTTTTTTTTTTTATATCATTTACGCGAAAGAAAATCATATAAATAGAATCGGCCGATAAGAAGGAAAAAGAAAAAAAGCTGAAAGAAAGTACAGAAATATCTATTTCATATATTTTTCTCAAAAAAAAAAAAAAAAAAAAAAAAAGAAAAATAACGATGAAAATTTCGCAAAAGCAATAACATACATATATTTCGCATTCGTTGTCGGTGTTGTTAATATAATCCATAATAATAAACCTTTTCTTTTCAATTTTAAAATACGTTTTATGTTTGAGCGTTAATGAATTTTTGCTTCGAACACACATTTGACATAACAAAATAATATTTCTCTGAGCCGTGTATAGAAAATTCGTGTAAATAGAGGGATTATTTATAGCGTATAAAAAATATTGCATAAATTAAGAAACAAAAAAAAATAAAATTACCTGATCAGTTTGTAAGATAGTAAACGATCATTCGACTGAAATTCTATGATATTTTTTGACAGATCTTCCGACCGATCTTTATTAAAAGAGAAAGACACACGAATTCTAAACAATTCTAACAAACGACTTTATCTTAAGATCCTCGTTGACAAGTATTTTTGAGATTGTCCTCATTTTTCGCGAACGCGTACAAATATACATATATTCAAATGGCATACTATTATACTATATGAATATTGAATTATACTATATGAATATATACGCATTGGTATCGTACACAGTAGTAGATAAATGATATATAAAACGAAGAAAAAGAGAAAAAGAGAGAAAGATAGAGATGACATGAGAGATGATCGATCTCGAAGGTAAAAGCGAGAAATTTCGATAATTCGTGAAATTTATGAGACTACGCGTGTCAGTAAAGTACGACGAAATAAAAATACAACTGTATGTATATGTATAAAACGACCATATATAAAAGAAATCTGAAGGAATGGAAATGAAAATGAAAAGTTTCTGAAAACAAGTCGATTCGAAAAAAATGGATAAAAATATGTAGTAATCGATACTTGATAACGATGTTGAATATCGAATGTTGCTAATAAGAGAGAGGAAAAAAAATAAGAATGATATTAATTCAATAATCAACCAATTAAATATAGCTTGTTAAATATCACCAAATTGTATACCCTTATCTATTGTGGAAAGGTATTACGTTTGGTGAGATTATACAGCTCGTGGGGTCAATTAAGAGAGAGTGGTTCGATGTCGATCTTCTAAAAACTCTCTCGATTCGTATTAAAATAACGATAAAGTAGAAAAAGAAAGGTGAAGGAAGAAAAAGTAATGTCGATGTAAGAGAACCGGGAGTGGGCGGAGGTAAGGCTCGTAGGGTTACGTTAGCATAATTAATCGTAGAGGCGCAAACTAACCAAGTAGAAGGTAGAAAGAATCTTGAGGAATTAGGAACAAGCTTTGACACGACGAACGATCAATCAAGTCGAACCTCGCGGAAAGTAATTCTTTTAAAACGTTTTTGGGAAAGAAGACCCCCGGACTATTGCGAAGGATACTTAGAAAGTTCATTAAAGCAAAGTGAAAATCGCGTAATGACCGAGTTTCGGCTTACGCTCTAACTTTTCGTTTGTCACGAGAAGGCGAGTTACTCCTAGTTGGGTTGCTCACGGTTAAATACAAAGGACCGAGAAAACGCATTTAACGTAACATTGTTTCCCAGTTTCTCTCTCTTTCTCCTTCTTTCCTTCTTTTTTCAAATAAATCCGAAACAAGTCAAGCTTTCTAAAGTTAAAATTATAAACATTAACCCTACCGATGATATTTTTATGCTATACTATATTCGATCAAATGATCAACCTTTAACAAAAAGAATTGTAAACGTAAATAATTGTCGATTTGGTATTGGCTGAAATAATACAACAAATTATTGGGTAATAATAATAAAACATTATTTATCATTATAGCAATGGCTAAATCAAATGGAAAAAAGAAAAAACAATAAAATTTCAATTACGAATTTAAGATTGTTCGGTCGTTAAATAGATATAAAAAGAAGTAAAAAAATAATAGAGAACTTAACGAGAAGAAGAAATTATCGTTAGACGCGGTAGGCGCTCAAATAGCATTGATTTTTCCAATGAAAATTACGATAACGGCGCGTCGTTACGAAACGCTTAGAAACGCTTGATCGCCGAAACGAACGAACACCGGCGGTACACCTGTTTATGTAGGTCGCATGAGAGAGCCCTATCACTCGTACATCTGGGTTACGTAGTGGTAAATACAGTCCCCTCTCTCTCTCTCTCTCTCTCTCTCTCTTTGTCTCTATTTCTCTTTCTCCTGCCTCGTGAAGCCGGCACGGAACAATTTTCGATCGCACTTTACACCGTCGTCCACGATACGTTCCGGATAAGACTAATGACCATCACCGGCTAAGGTAGAACTAAGGAACGTCAACGTATCGATCGATTTCTTTTTCACGAAGGTCTATCCACTTTTCTAAATAACGAAAATAGAATAAAAAAAAAAAGGAAAAAAAAAAACTAGCATAAAAAGAGAGAAAGTGTTAGGTAGTTAAAACTCACCGATGACAAAAAGAAAAGATGAAAACGATGATAATCTTCTCTTTGAAGATATTCGTAAGCGTGCGACTCGCTTGAACGTTGTCGAGCGATGAAAGGGGGCGTTGCGTGGTTCAAAAAGTTAAAGGAGAAACGTCAGGCAAGACCAAGCTCAATGTCAAGGCGATCGAGGTAAACGTCCTGGACAATACGAGCAGAATCAAAAGCAGGAACAGGAGCACGACCACCAGACACTCAGAATGAAAAAAGATCTTCGTCAAAAGTCTTCGATATGTTTTTCCTTCCTCATGATTCCGCTAACGTCGTATGCAATAGACACTTTCCGCGTGACACAATACACACTCGCTTACGTCGAACTACTAACTATTAATAATTGTAAGATTGCGGAGGCGCGCGCGCGCACACACGTTTCTGTTATTTCTCTAATCAAAGAGAGAGAGAGAGAGAGAAAAAGAGAGATGGAAAGATTAAAATAGTGAATTTTTGTTAAATGACACGCGCGCTTCTCTAGCTATTAAATTACTACAAGGATGACATGAAAATTTCTTATTTCTGTCTGTCTCTCTATTTCTCTTTCTTCCGTCTTATCGGACAAACGACTGTTCGTTTTCGGAGAAAGTAAGGCAAAATGAATGAAATAAAGACAGACGAAGGAGGACAGCGAAGAGCAGAGAACGCTAATGAAATTCTCCAGGAATGAAACACGTGGTATCGTGGTTAAATTAGTTTCGAACGTTTCTTCGTTTCTTTCTTTCTTTTTTTCGATCGATCGATTGATCGATCAATCGTTCGTTCGTTCGGTAATCTCTACCGCTATTCTCGTTGACCTGTCAATGGCACGCGAGTTTTCCCACTGTCCTCCACACAATTGAAACCACTCCGTTACAGCCAAACGGTGCAATATCCGCGCCGCGACTGCCTTTCCCCGTTCAACCGAACGTGATTAATCCCCCACTCCCCCTCCTCATGAGAACGAACCGTCGCGAACGCCATCGAGCGCCACCGTGCAATGAAGTCGCGCATGCGTACCCTATCCTTGATCTTCCTGCGATATCAAAAATACTACTTATCGAAATTCGTCTTACAGGTCGATACCGATACGCGCGATATCGAAAAGCTAATATTTTGTTTTTCTTTTATTTTCATTTCCCAATAATTGAAAGACTCGTCAGTAATGAGAAATCTGCCATGTTAAATATCATGCGTGTATACTGGCGACACATCATCGATGAGAATATGAAACAATGGTAACCAAATTGATTTGAAATGTAATAAATACTTTATGTACTTTTGTTTCTATATTATCCATTCCACAGATCGAAACGAAATGGCTCAAACTAGGAACACACACACTTATCCCGAGTAATCGCGAGGAAAGAAATCGAGCTGTTACGAGTAAGCCGTTCCGCGGATTTAAATTCTAATTCGAGATAGGTCTGCTACGATGCTAAGGGATGGTTAGAGCAAGGAGGGCGGGGGGTAAATTCGTTGGGCGAAGCGAACTACTAATGCGTTTCCGTCAGTCGAAGACCCCGAAGGAATTTGTAAATTCGACGGTGGAAGTTTTAATCGTCCATCAGGGAAGAAACGAGGGGCACGAACTTTTCGCATAGTAATTCTTCCTCCATTCGCGCGGAACCTTTCACCAAGCCATGCTCGCTGACCCGAATTTAACACGAACGACTTCGAACGTGCAGTCTTTAGTATATTTTTTTTTCTTCTTCTTTTTAATATATTTACTTTTTCCAAGAGACAGAGAAAAAAAAAACAAATTTTTCATTGAAACACTAATTACATAGTTACATAGATTCGGCTTTTAATATCACGAGTAAGATTGAAATTGCAACGGGATAATCATTTTCATAAAAAGATCAAATCAAGACACCTTAGATGGGTAGGTCTGAGTATAAGGTTGAACGTTCGTTTGAACGATTATCGAATTTGTTCCGACTTATTTCGCGCGCTTTCTCTCTCTCTCTTTCTTTCTCTTATTCTTTCTTTCTCTTATTCTGTCTATCTCTTCGCGAAGTAAAACGAACGAACGTGTAAAAAGAAGCGAGAGCTTATTGGCTTGTCTGGTGTCGGACCAAAGTCCTCCTGTCGTCGCCTAGCTTTTCAAGAGAAAATATAGGACTAAAATCGTCTCTGCAAGGTGCTTTTTCTTGTTGTCGTTTATCGATTTGTCTCACAATAAATCACGCGATAGTATCGTTGACCTAAAAATCTCAACACGTATGAATCTTTCGGTCTATTTTCTCTATCAATTTTTGAACGAAGGAAAGAACGACGAGTAAAGCACGATCTTTCAGTCCATCAAAATCGAACGAATAAATGTTAGGAAAAAGAGACGAATTGATTGTAATAAAAAAAAAAAAAAAAGGAAAAAACAATAAAAAGAAATATTATATGTATTTATACTGATATTTTTCAATGACTATATCTAAAGATGCTAGCGTTGCGTCAAAGCACCGTTAAAACTCCTTTAAAATGTATCAGAAAAATAACGGAAGCGTTATACCAACACAACAAACAAACATCGGTCTCTCATCAATGAGAAATGCAGTTGCAAATTATATACACAATGCTTCCATTCTAATCTATACGCGAGGAGACTCCAGCGCGTGCACGTGTATGCGCACCTGGGGAAATCAGACACTCCGCGTTGCTAGCATGATAAATGCCAAACCAAAAGCACTATGGATAACTGTGTCACCGTAGAAAAAAGTCTAAATCATGCTAACGCACGGGAGAAGATAACGTACCTTTGACGTTCTAAAACGATGATAATAACACGCTAATTCGCGCTTATATACTCCGACGCTTATAATTAATCTTATTCACTCTAATTGCTCCCTTTTTCTACATAAATATCACATAGAAAAAAAAATTATTATGCGTTAATCACGCACACTTGCAATAAATCAATTATATTACATGACGTATTACGTGACCAACGCAAATGATCAAGCCTTTACAACAAGATCGAACAAAATAAACGGAAAGAACCAAAACAAACTATTAGTCAAGAAGAATGTGTCATTAGAAATCGATTAAACTCTAAAATATTTATTAAAAAAAAAAAGAGAAAGTGACCTTCCACCCCTCCGTTTTCTTCCTTCTCCTTCTTTTTCTCCTTTTTGCTTCTGTCCCCTTCTTCCGTCATCCTGCATACACATTCATGTTCTCCACCAAAAATCTCGCCCTTTCTTTTTCTGCTCCTTTTATTATCTTTCCTTCCCCATTTTACACCCTCTCTATCCTTTTCTCTCTTATACCAAAAGATATACAAAAAAATATGTTTGCTTAGTGATTCTTTGTTCGGTATAAAATTCGAAGAAAACAAGTTGACAAAAATGACACACAACATTTCAATATTTACCTAACATGAAGATCCCTTCCCTTCCCCCGGTAGAACTATACCTTAATTTAAATATTTAAAGTGTATGTTCCTTCACGAAGAAAAAGAATACTGAACTTTGTAATCCTCTTTTAGGAGAAATTATTTACTTAAATAAAGATATCGCAGCGGGTGCACTCTATAGCTGCGTTTGTTAACAAAAGATCGTTGATGGAACCGATAAACACGTTTCAATAATGGGTCTCAAAAAAGCGGTAAACTTTCTCTTCTTTGATAAAAGGAATTGATGGTAGAGAAAAAAGACCCTTGAGTTTATTCCCCTACTCTATGTTCCTCTGTTCCAATTGGTCATCCTTGTTTTATTTGTTAGTCATTGGCTTGTTAGTTTAAATCTTCCTCCAATGGAAACATTCCTCTAGGATTAGGCAACATAAACAGAAAAAAAGTGGGGTTTTGTACTATTCTAGTAGATGTAGCCTACCAAACTTTACTCTAAACTCAAACTCCGCCTGCATTCTCAAAAGTGAAAAAGAAGGAAGGAACTTTAGGATATAGAGTGGGGTAGGACTTCCCTTACCACATTATAAAAGCAGCAGCGGTAATCGAAGCTAAATCAGTTGCTCCGTTTTCTAACATTATCTTAGTAGCTCTCTTACTCGAATTACAGAGAGTAAATTAAAACTGCCATATTTTGGAGTAACTATCAAATTTTGTCGTGTTGTGTTGTGTTTTTGTAATATTCAAGAAAATATTAACACACAAACGAATTACTTCGTTTGCTCCTACCCATCGCTTAATTTTGGATCCGATCAATCTTGTGGTGTGTTCTTCCTGAGCTGATAATATTCGCATAGGAAACTACGAGAAAATTTATTTGAAAAAGTGACCTGTCCTCGTCGACATATCAAATATTAAAAAATACATTTAAAAAAATGAAAAAACAAAATCTAAACATTAAGTAAGTATTAAACCTTTTTTAAAAATCTGTTTGAGTTGATGTTATGATTCGTCGGTAAAATAAATCGATTTTCTTGTGTAAATTTATTTTCTCGGTTCTTTCGTGCTTTTTATTTTGCTGCAAAAAGTATCTGAATATCGAAAAAAATATCCAAATGAATATCAAATAACTGTTATTTTTTAACCTGATAAATCGGACTAATAGCTTCGTAAAAGATTATTTAGAATTCAAATCTAAGCGATATTATTTCCCTTCTTAATTATTTATATTTTACACAAAATTCACAAGAATTTTCATTTATTAATTTTACAGAATAAAGATTATAAAACGCAAAAACAAAACAAAAGAACAGCGATCGTTATACGGATGTGTTGTATGTGATTATACTAGCCTTCGAAAATATAATGTAGTGCGACACATAGACAGATATCATCGAACACTGAAGAAACCATTTTTATGTTGTAGTAAGTTAACAATTAATAAATTTTATTGATAATTCTTTTCTTTCTTCGATTAACGTTAACCACAACGCGTCAACGATAGTTACTACGATCCATTAAATTGCATGTCTTTTCTTCATACTTTTGTCCCTTTTTTCGGAACACTTTGTTTAAAGATAAGAGAATGGACCCATGTTCACCAACATAGAGAGTCTTTTTACAACGTTCTCCTAGCTTTCGTTATTTTTTATTTTTTGTCAAGAATGTCACACGTTTCTGGTTTTATAAATTAGATAGAATTTAGTTCACATCTCATCTCTCTCTCTCTCTGCCTTTCTTTTTTTCCTTCTTTCTTTTCTTACTCTATTTGTATTCGTTTTCTTAGATAAACGAGAATGTATTAGTTCATCATTAACATCGTAAATTTTCAAATTAAAATAAAAAATTCCCTAAGTTTTATTTTTCATGATTTATTATTCGGAATGTGTAAAATAGTAATCGATAATCTGAATAATAAACTCTTAGATCGTTCTTTTGCATGTTTATATTTAATTTAAAGTAAACTATTGTAAAACTCCAAAACGGCTGCGACGATCGATAAGTATAATTATCCGAAGTGAGGTCGATTATGTAGTAGTTCGTTTTACTTCCTTGAAATTCTTGATCTTTTATTATTTCAAGTCTAACAATTGGAAATTATATCAAATCCTATCAAATCTTTCAAAATATATTTATAAATATATTTTATTGGCAGATAAAAGATTTTGGACGAAATGGGAAAAGAAAGAGCATTTACAAACCAAAAAGAAAGTGCATTTACGAAGCAAAAAGAAAGTGCATTTACGAAGCGAAAAGAAAGTGCATTATGATCCTAAAAGACAAGTGAACTCCAAATTGTCAACAAAAAGATTGAAAAAAATTTCAGCTGAAATAGAACAAGAAATTTTAGAAGAAAAAAGAAGAAGAGCAACAGAGCAAATTCCGGAAGTTACAGTAATTATCAATCTATCGAAAGAAAAGCTTAAAGATTGTAATGATGGGATATTACGTTTTTTAGATAATTTTGATTTTGATACTATGCCAAGAGCAAAATAGATTTAATTTTTGAAATTTATATGCTAAACTGTAAATTTACAAAATTTTGACTTATATGCGAAAAGACAATAGTAAAACAAGT